GATATGTATTTGTTGAATGTTTGTTGTTCTTTCTTAATATAATGAGATGTTGAATTATTTCATTAACTTACAAAATCAATTGGGAAATAACGAATGTAGAAACATTTTCTCCTTTTGTTTTAGAATTTTTGGAGCCATTATATAGAAAATAATAAACAGTCTCATTATTTTGCTTCTGCATGTTAATGCACTTGTCATTCTTTTGTCTCCAGAAATCTATGTCAGGTGCCATCAACAGAACATTCACTCTGAATAGACGTGCGTATGTGCATCTTCCTTAAGTGAGTGTTTGTGTTTTCTGTCCAGTGCTTCTGAAGATGAAACCCCTGCTAGTGTCCATAGTGAAGGGGTGCAGTAGAGTGCCACAGTGATGTGGGAAGAGGAGAGATGGACTCATCATTGAAAGGAAGAGAATTCACACTCTTTTAGACTAAGCATTAAAAGCTTTTTAAAAATAACTTGTTATAGCCATTTTCAAACGTATACAAACACATAGAAAAGTTGCCAGAATAGTATTGAATCTCCATGTAACTGTCACTCAGCTTTAATTATTATCAGCGTATAGCCTTCACTATGCCCTTCTCCTGGACTATTTTGAAGTGTATCTCAGACATTTTTCATTTCATCTATAAATGCTTAGACAGGAGATATTTCTTATTCACAGTGAGGTGTTCATCCATTCTAGTACCTTATATGTGATTGGAATTGTTCTAGGCTCCTGGGATATATGGGTGGATGAAATAAACCATGCCCTTGCATTCCAGCCTGGGGAGACAGAAAATAAACTAGACACATAAATAACCAGAACAGGAAAAAAAATGATTTCATCAAAATTTAAAACTTCTGCTTATCAAAAGACAACGTTAGGGGCCAGCCCCGTGGTTTAGTGGTTAAGTGCACGTGCTCTGCTACTGGCGGCCCCGGTTCGGATCCCTGGCGCGCACCGACACACCGCTTGAACAGCCATGCTGAGGTGGAGTCCCACATACAGCAACTAGAAGGATGTGCAACTATGACATACAACTATCTACTGGGGCTTTGGGGAGAAAAAGGGAAAAAAAGGAAGAGGATTGGCAATAGATGTTAGGGCTTGTCTTCCTCACAAAAAATAAAAAAGACAACATTAATAAAATGAAAAGGGAGAAAATATTTGTAAAACATGTATCTGACGAAGGATTTATATCCGGAATACTTGAACAGCTCCTCCAGCTCAATAATAAAATAGAGAAACAACTGATTTAAGAAATGAGCAAAACAAGGACTTTCACAAAGCACATAACAAAGTATTCAGCAGCATCACCAGTCACCAGGGAAAGGCCGAGTCAAGCCGTACACACCACTAGAATGACTAAAATTTAAAAGACCGACGGTGTCAAATGTTGGTGAGGATGTGGATCAATCAACTTTCTTGGCATTGCCGGTGGCTGTGTACAACAGTACAGCCAGTGTGAAAATCAGGCAGGCAGTTTCTCATAAAGTTCAGCCAACACGTCTGACCTGTAACACAGCAATATCGCCCCTAGGTATTTACACAAAGGAAAGGAAAATAGGTTCCTAAAAGGACTTGTACAAGAATATTCATAGCAACTTTCTCATTATAGCCAAAAAGGGAGAAACAGCTCAGATGTCCATCAGCAGAGTTGTGGCATATCTGTAGAATGGAATACCACTCAGCAATGAAGTGAGACACGTTGCTGATATACTTAACAAAAACACTGTGCTGAGCAAAAGAAGCCAGACCCTCCTTCCCCAGAAGGCGTATTTTCTGATTCCGTTTATATGAATTTCTGGAACAGAGAAAACGAATCTTCTGTGGAAGAATTCTGAGCAGTGGTTGCCTCAGGGAGGACAAGTTACCAAGGACTGAGTGTGAAGGGGCACGAGACAGCTTCCTGGGAAGATGGCAGTGTTCTCCATCTTGATAGGGACGCTCGTGAGGGACCCTCTTCAGGTCTCTGGGCTTCTCTTCCTGGCACCTTCCTCTCCTTTCCTCTGCCCTGTGTGCTCTAGCTGCACCCAGCTCTGTTGGGCGACCCCTGGGCTCTGTCTGGGACCCCTTTCCTGTGCTGTGGCCTGCGTCCTTTTTCCAGGCGGAAGCTGGGGCTCGCCTGGTTTGTGTTTCATCTCTCAGGGGTCACTGTCCTTTGGTGCCTGATGTCCAGTGTCTTGTGCTGTTTTTTCACAGATTTTATCTGTTTTTTCTTTTTTGGATTCAGGTGTGAGAGTAAACCCAGTCCCTTTGACTCTTGTTGACCGGAGGTGGATGTCCTGGATTCGACAAAATATCTATTTAAAAAATATATTGTGTCACTCCTTACAATGTGAGGCAGAGATTTTGTCTTCTTTGCTGTAATTCTGGTATCTACGGCCAAGAATACTTGGCCTATAATAGGCACTAAGTGAAGTTTTTGGAACAGATGCATCATTCATTCTTTCTTTGTTTCTTTCTTTCCTCTTTTTACTTGTCCATTACAAACGTTGAATAGCAAAACCAATGCTTTATCTAAAAGAGCACTTTCTACAGGGTCCTTTGGAACACCAGTCTCTGGATTCTTTATAAATAAAGGGTTCTGTAATGAAGTCAGTTTGGGAAATGCTTATGTACTGACAAATCCTGTAGTAAAGAAACTTGCTCAAGCCAGAATTTTCTAAACTCATTTGACCGGGGATATTTTTTCCCCTCAAAACACCTGTTAACCTCTTATATAATTTATATTTTCTGGAACACGTTCTCAAGAAATGGTGAACATCTTATAAGTGTAATAAAACTGTGTATGTTTATCTTCTTCCTTCTTTTACAAGAGTGATGCAATATGTTATTGTATTATAATGCAATTACAAATACAAGATGTTTTTCTATTGTAGATTATATATGACAATTTTATGTTTTTAAGCAGCTTTATGGAGATAATCACATACCATGCAATTCACCCATTTAAACTATGATTTAATGGATTTAAGTACATTCATAGACATGTACAACCATCACCACAGTAAATTTTAGAACATTTTCATCACCTCAGAAAGAAACCCTGTACCCTTAGCGATCACCCCCATCCTGTCTCCCCACCCCCACCAGCCTTAAGGAACCACTGATCTACTTTCTATCTCTATAGATTTGCCTATTCTGGACATTTCCTATAAAAGGAATCATATAGTATGTGATCTTTTGTAACTGGCTTCTTTCACATTGAATAATGTTTTCAAGATTCATCCATATTGTGGCATGTATTAGTACTTCATTCCTTTTTGTGGCTGAATAATATTTCATTGTATGGATGTACCTAATTTTGTTTATCCGTTAGTCCATTGATGACCATTTGGGTTGTTTTCACCTCCTGGCTATTATGAATAATACTGCTATAAACATTCATGTACAAGTTTTTGTGTAGGTGTATGTTTTCCTTTCTCTTGGGCATATACCTAGGAGTGGAATTACTGGGCTATGTGGTAACTCGATGTTAAATCATTTGAGGAACTGCCAGACTGTTTTCCAAAGTGGTATTACCATTTTACATCCCCACTAGCATTGTATGAGGGTTCTGATTTCTCCACATTCTCACCAACACTCGTTGTTGCCTGACTTTTTGATTCTATCATCCTAGTGGATGTGAAGTGGTATCGCATTATGGTTTTGATTTGCATTTCAGTAATGACTACTGATATAGATTATGTTTTCATGTGCTTTTTGGCTATTTGCGTATCTTCTTTGGAGAAATGTATATTCAGCTCCTTTGTTCATTTTAAAGTTGGTTTGTCTTTTTATTATTGAGTTGTAAGAGTTCTTTATATATTCTAATTAAGTCCTGTATCAGATATATGATTTGCAAAAAGTTTTTCCCATTATGTGATTTGTTTTTTTAGTTTCTTGATAGTGGCCTTTGAAACATAATGTCATTTGAAGTTCTTAATTTTGATAAAGTCCAGTTTATCAGTTTTTCCTTTTGTTGCTCATGCTTTTGGAGTCATATCTTGTATATGTTTTTTGTTCCTTGCTTTTAGCAAAGTTAAAGCAATAGCCTTAATTTGTTTGGCATTGTTATGGAAAATATAGTTAATAATAGTTATCATTAGCTTTGAGGCCATAATACGTGATAGCTTTTTATTAATATCAAATCAAATGGCATTTGGCTGAAAATTCCAATCATGGTGTAAAGTAAATGCAAAATGATATGTTTTAATTGAATTAAAGAGCATAATGAAAAATAAAATCAATATTATTGATTTTAACGCATTTTTTCAATAAACCCCCCCAGATTTACTTCATTAATTCTACTCTACCACTGACATTTCCCTTTGCCATTAACCTTCAGACAACACAAAATGACTGTTAGATGAAGAAATTGGTGATTGACAACTGGAATAGGAGTGGCTTTTCATTGGCAAAAGAGCTCACCGAGTGAATGGTGATATGTGATGGGAATAGGTGTGTTGTTAATTAGGAATATTCAGAAAGATAATGGTAAGGCTCTTTGCTCTAGGGAAAAGGATGAAGCATTTAGTTTTGAATTTCATTTGTTTTACAGTGGGACTTGGGCTTCTGTTGGGAGGCTAAAGAGGTGTAGGTCTGACTTCCTGACTTGTATCACAGCAGTTTTGTTTAATCTGTTTTACAGAGTGGGAGTTCACTGAAACGTAATTTGAAAGGAGGGCTTCTCTGTTGAAAAAAAAAAAGTAGTGAATTGAAGTGTTCTGGTAAAGAGAATTGAAACATGGGAGTTTTTTTTACAAGCTGCTTGAGAATCACTTTTTCTATCAAAGATATCATAGTGTTGCTTCCTGAGTCAGCTGTGTAGTGATGGGATATTCCTCAAATCTGATTTCATGCTTTCGTACAGGACTTTATACATGTGATCACATTCATGTCAGTATAAAGGAAATCTGGAGGCTAATTTTATGGTATTTTTTCATCTAGTGTGTCATTTTATGTTCACTCTTGGACTAATATGTGTCTTTTCTTTGTGTTCAGAGGTTTAATACCATGTTTATTTTCTTCACAGGCTATGAGTGCCAGGTGAGCCCCCCGTGACACAAGAAGCCTCATTAGCACTTCATTAGTGATGGATACTGAGAAGAAACCAGAGAATGAGGAGGATGAGAATGTAGACAAAGAAGCAAAAGACCTGGGAGATATTTCATCCCGTGATGTAGATTGTGGGCCTGTAGCCGATGTGGTAGCAAAGTCATCTGAGAATTCCACAAGCAAAAGAGGTCTTTCAGAGTCATCAAACTTGGTCAGTGTCGTTGTGGAGGAAGACGGAAATAAACATGCTTCCAAACGAATGAAATTAGCCGAGGCAGAGCCCCTTAAATCTGAGGAGCAGTGTGTTCATGGATCAGAAACTTCTGCGAGCAGCGCAGCCCCAGAAGCTGGTATCCCGTTAGACGGAACGGTGAAGGAACCCCTCCTGAATGACTGCTCAGATGGAAGCACGTGTCCTCCCAATGCCTTCTCCTCTCCTTGCAGTTTTAGCGCTATTGATGCTGTTTCTCTGAAAACAGACACTGAAAAACAGTCTGCTCAGGAAATGGTTTCCCTTTATCCCGAAAGAGAATCTCCTTTTCCTCTGAAAGAGATGAGTGTTAGTTGTACCATTGGAAATGTAGACGCAGTTCTCAAGTGCAGCGTATGTGATCGTTTGTTTTCTTCTTGCTCTGATTTGGAAAAGCATGCTGAATGTCACATGCAACAGTCTAAGGAACATGCCTGCTGCCACTGTAGCCACAAAGCAGAGAGCAGTGCAGCGCTGCACATGCATGTCAGACAGACACATGGGCCACAGAAGGTCTTTTCTTGTGATCTTTGTGGCTTTCAGTGTGTGGAAGAAAACCTGTTGAATGCACATTATCTTGGCAAAACACATCTCCGGCGTCAGAATCTTGCTGCTCGTGGAGGATTTGTACAGATCTTAACAAAACAACCTTTTCCTAAGAAACCATGCACCATGGGAACAAAAAATGTGCGTGCAAAACCTAGAGCTTCTAAACCAATAGCAAAGAATAGTGACTCAAAAGGATTACAAAATGTTGGAAGCAAATTTAAAGATTTCAGAGGAAGCATTTCTAAACAGAGTGGAAGTAGCAGTGAACTCCTTGTTGAAATGATGCCTTCCAGGAATGCTTCATCAGAAAAAGGAGAGATTGTTGAAGAAAATGTAACCTCCCCTGGAATAGCTCGAAATCCTGAGAACCAGAGTAGAAACTTAGGAGCTTTAGGAACCTCAGAGGGTCTCGTAGATAAATTGGAATCTACCAAAAATAATACGCTACAGACAACACATGGAGTCAGCACAGTCTCGAGACTAAGACCTGAGCGCAGCATTCTCCTGTTGGGTCATGGCTTCCGACGACGTGGCGCTTTCGCCTTAAAAGGCCAGGCCAAAAAAAGGTTTAATCTTTTAGGAATTAATAAAAGAGGGACTACTGAAACTCAGAGGATGTATATGAAACACTTCGGAACACAGGTGAAAACCAGTGATGCAGAGTCAACGCCTAAACACGTAGAAACAGGTGGCAGTGTCCACAGTCTGTGTGTGACTTCCTTGGAAACCCAGGACGAGAAGCAGGACAAAAGAAACTCCCACCTTCTGTGCTCCTTTGACTCTCTGACAGTGAGGCCAGCTTCTGACCATCAGATGCTGTGTACTTGTGCAGACTGTGGTCAGATAGCTACAAGTAGGACAGAATTGGAAATCCACGTGAAAAGGTGCCGTACAAGAGAGGTGAAATTTTACTGCCAGACATGTGACTTTTCCAGTATGTCGAGGAGGGACTTTGATGAACATTTGCACAATAACCAGCATCAGGAAACTGCCTCTGTCCTCAGTTGTCAGTGTTGTTCATTTATTTCCTTGAATGAAATAAATCTTAGAGACCACATGAAGGAAAAGCACAGTATGGGTTTTCTTTGTACTTCTTGTAATCTGTTCTTCCTGTCTGAGAAAGACATGGAAGAACACAAAACAACTGAGAAACATATTCGCTTATTTGTTCAACCAAAGACTTCTCAATCACTTAACAATGATTTGGTTTTACAGACTTTACCTTTAAGTACTTTAGAATCGGAAAACGCAAAAGTGAGTGAGTCAGGAAAAGCAGCTCAGGAAGAACCTGCTAAGTCCAAGGTAAACCATGGAAGTGAAGTAAGGCATTCCAGTAAGCCTCAGTTTCAATGTAAGAAGTGTTTTTATAAAACAAGGTCTTCCACTGTTCTCACAAGACACATAAAGCTCCGGCATGGGCAAGACTATCACTTTCTTTGTAAAGCATGTAATCTTTATTCATTGAGCAAAGAAGGAATGGAGAAACACATTAAGAGAAGCAAGCATCTTGAAAATGCTAAGAAAAATAATATTGGCTTAAGCTTTGAAGAATGTATTGAGAGGGTATGTATAGGTGCAAATGACAAAAAAGAAGAGTTCAGCATTTCCGGAAATGGAAGGCTAGAAGGCCACGTAGAAGGTGTGCAATTACAGGAGCATTCCTGTCTTGAGAAGAGTATACTAACTACCAAGGAACTGTCACAGTCTGGTATAATCACCAAAGAGGATGAATTAGCTTTGACCACTACAAAGAGAGGGAGACCTAAAGGTAACATCTCACGGACATGTTCGCATTGTGGTCTTTTGGCCTCTAGTATTACGAACTTGACTGTTCACATTAGACGAAAACACAGTCACCAATATAGTTATTTATGCAAAGTGTGTAAATATTATACCGTAACTAAGGGAGATATGGAGCGTCACTGTGCCACCAAGAAACATAAAGGGCGGGTAGAAATAGAAGCAAATGGAAAACAAAGTTCAGATATCATTGTTGGCCCTGAAGTGGGTAACTTTGAAGCCTGTAGAAAGAACACCAATTCAGCTGTGACTGTCTCAGATGAACATGCTAACAAGTCAGCTGACTCAGATGCCTCCATTCCAGAAAAGCCTATAGTACAGCATGGAAATCCAGTTGAAGTTGAAGTCGAAAATGTATTTCATTCCATTGATGGAGAAGTTAACAGTCACCTTATTGATAAAAAGGAACAAATCTGTCTAGAACCAGAGGACCTTATCCAACAGGGGGATGCACACTCCCAGAGAGATGTTACGGACACAAGTGATAATAAATGTACACACTGTGAGTTTAACGCTCACTCTTCTGCTTCTCTAGAACTGCACATAAAACGGAAACATACAAAAGAGTTTGCATTTTATTGCATGGCATGTGATTACTATGCTGTGACTCGTCGGGAGATGACTAGGCATGCAGCAACAGAAAAGCACAAGATGAAAAGACAGTCTTACCGGAACTCTTCTAACGTAGAAGCAAATTCTGCAGAAATGTCCAAAAACGTCATTATAGCTGAAGAGCAACATCAACAAAATTCTGAAGAATTTCAAATAACTTCAGACCAACATTCTGAAATTCTTAAATCTAGAAATACTGCTGAGTGTTCTATTTTGGATGAGAGCACTAATTTGGATATGTCTAAAGTACTCTCTGCTCCTGACTCTGTGGAAGTTGAGACTGAAGAAGAATGTAATCTCAGTGAAGATCATTCCTTTTGTGAAACTTTCCAACAGCCCCTTGCCAAGGATAAAGTTAGGAAACCTGACGAGATGGTGTCCCTTAATATTTCCTCTAATTATGACTCCCCAAGCAAATTTCAGAATGAAAATTCAGGAAGCTCAGCTTTCAGTTATGAGACAGCAAAGAAAAACCACCGTGTGTTGAATGACATCGTTGATCAAAATATTCATTGTGAGAACGATGGAGGAAGTGTAGGAGGTAATGTGGATAAGGTCCTTAGCAAACATGTATGTGCTGGAGTTCTAGGTGGAGAGCATTCAGCTGAAAGCACCGTCCCTGTTGTGATGGGAATGACTAGAGAACAGCTAAACCTGGAGAGCAGTGGTCAAGGCAGAGTTGGAAGTGTGCAGAGTTCAGAGGGTTTGAAAGATAGGCAAGAAGATCCTGTTCTGGAGAATAAGGAAATTCTGATGAATTCCCAACATGAAACTAAAATTATTTTGGAGGAGGATGGTCCAGCTTCTGATAGCACAGTTGAAAGTAATGATGTTTATGAAACTGTAATTAGTATTGATGATAAAGGACAGGCCACGTACAGTTTTGGCCGGTTTGATTCTTCCATAATAAGAATAAAGAACCCTGAAGATGGTGAATTGATAGATCAGTCTGAAGAGGGTCTGATAGCAACAGGAGTGAGAATTAGTGAGTTGCCCTCAAAAGACTGTGCTCAAGGTATGAAAAAGAAGAAATCTGAAGGTAGTTCCTTTGGTGAATCCACACGAATCCGTTGTGATGATTGTGGCTTCTTAGCAGATGGTTTGAGTGGACTGAATGTTCACATAGCCATGAAGCATCCTACAAAAGAGAAACACTTTCATTGTTTACTATGTGGAAAATCATTCTATACAGAGAGCAACCTTCATCAGCATTTGGCTAGTGCTGGTCACATGAGAAATGAACAGGCCAGCGTAGAAGAGCTTCCAGAGGGAGGGGCCACCTTTAAATGTGTCAAGTGTACAGAGCCCTTTGATTCTGAACAGAATTTATTTCTGCATATTAAAGGGCAGCATGAGGAACTGCTGCGGGAGGTGAATAAGTACATAGTGGAAGACACTGAGCAAATCAACCGAGAGAGAGAGGAAAATCAGGGAAACGTTTGCAAGTATTGTGGGAAGATGTGTCGAAGTAGCAATTCCATGGCATTTCTAGCCCACATTCGCACTCATACAGGTATGTAAACCACAGCAAACCTCTGTTTACCTATAGAGTGCAAGTGAATGATAAAACTTGGACATTGGTTCCTGTCCGAATGTGGAGTCCTTACTGCATTTGCTCGTTGACCTTCCACCTACTTCACGTTGCACTGCAGTGGGGCGCTCTGGACCTCGGCCATAAGTCCTTGTTGACACTTAGCGTTTCGAAAGGTAATTAAGCCTTAGTGATTCCAAAGGCAGGTTATATGACAAATTTCTTTTAATTTTATCAAGAACACCTAGTCCCTCTGATGCCTTTGTTAAATTCCTGTCTCTTAGAGCTTTCAGTTGTTTCTAAGTCCTAATTGTTTGGAACTCCAAGGTATCTATTAAGTGGCACTTTGGGTTTCAGAGGACATATTAAATGGCTTTTGAGGAATAGAATAATAAAAATTTTCTTACAGTTTTAGGGATTTAAAAATATCCATTGCCAAATAGTTTATATCCAAAAGTGTAACTCCCCCAGGCGACAAGATTGTACTTTCAAGGATCAAAATTAGTCAACACTTTTCAAAGTTAGTATGTCCTGAGGATTTGGTTTTTGTGGAGGTAGCGCCTGATTTAGTTTCTGTACTCTGTCACGTGTATTGTTCCATTTTAATGTTTAATTTTGGGTAGAAATTTTTTTAAAAACTTTTTTTTTGTGCAAAATACATAAGCCACTCTTCTAAATTTATGTAAGAATTCACTGCACTGTTTCTATAAACCTGCCATACATTCTTTATTTTAAATAGACAGCTTTTCTAAATCATTGTGCTCTGCTTAGACAAGTTCTGTCTCCATGGTTGAATTTATGAGTGGATTTGAATAATAAATTCACATTTCAATGAACATATTTTCATTAAAACTGTAAGGTTTATTTTACTGTACTTTTAAATAATGGCTTATTATTAAAGCTATACTTTAAATTCATGCAGTTTTTGAAACTTAGTGCATGCTTACAAGGAGGAAGACAGAAGAGTATGAAACATTATTAATAGTTTAGGGTGATTAAAGATAGATAAAAGTTTTACATTGAAGAAAGTAACTGGGCATAAGTAACCTGCATAAGATTAATCTAGGTAAATATAAACATTGTACTCTTGGTCTGAACTCTTCCCATGCAGTAGAGCCACTTTTTGGGGGAATAAGTCCAAATACTTATTTGTTGGCATTATTAATATCTCTGTCAGTACTATGTTACAACTCACTTCCTGAAGTAATATGGTTTTAGAAATCAGACTTGTTCACATGCACAGAAAATATGTACTTTCTTAATATGCCCTCTTAAGGCAGATAAAACTGAATAAAACTAAGAGGAAGATGCTAATGGAGCTCTTTTTAGAATTCTTTATGCAACTGTCTGGTCAAGACATGTTGCTTATAATTGATGTGTCCATTACTTGAATTCTCTTGTAATTATAGTCAATAAGTCTTGTAAATGTGTTAAAGCTCACTAAAAGCATACAAATTCAAGAACAGAGTAAGGCTAATAATTTAAAATAATCAATGTAGGCATTTCAGCACTTAATTTCCCTTGTGTGTTGATAGCTGATCATTCTTAATCCATTAAGATTTATTTAGTCGTTTACAATGCAAAATAGGTTTGCACTGGTCACTTGTGCCATTTGAAAATGTCCACCAGGTTAAGTGCAGAATGTAGTCCATTAGTCTTTCTTGACTATATGTATTAATTGCATTTAAAATCAAGTTAATGTGGATGTGAAAGTGAGGTAACTATCAATATGTGACAAAGTAACCCTACTTATATAAGTTACATCATTGATTGTAACATTTAGTAAAAGTTAGCATACTTTTTAACATCTTATGTTAGGCTTATCAGCAAGTACATTTTATTGTGTTCTGAAGCACCACAAAGAGCACTGTTCCTGAGTACATGATGCCAGTCTACCATTTCAATTTTGCAAGTCATTTTTTGAGAGAAGTTGCTTTCCAGGGTTTAATCCAAGGTTTTTCCTTGGGGCATCTTAAAATGAATTGCTTTTTGGATACTTTGCTTATGTCCCTGAAATAGTAGTGCAGGGACTGTTATTAATGGTTAACTGGAAAAGGGCTTACTCTTCCAATCCCTGTTTTCATATTTTGTGATTTACTATATGTTTTATGTAACCTTTTCTTCCTATCCTTAGCGCTATGATAAAAGCAGCACTCTAAGAAATAAATGAGTTTTGGTTATCAAGAATTGTAGGAAAAAAGCATCCCCGAGTTTTCCTGTGTGTTTGCTGGTATGAAGCCTTCAGCATGACCAGAAAGAGCAATGTCTCCTTTCCCATTACATTAATAGTACAAAAAAAGCTGTTCATTTTGTCTCCTGCATTATTCTGTTAGCACTTTAATTTTATATAACATGGCACATGTCATTAAGCTAGAAGACTGAAGCCCTTCATTTAATGTTCCGGGTGCTCTCATCACTAGTGCTATTGGAAAATGTTTGCATGCTAAGAGATACAGAGTTGTGTGGCTTCACTAAAAAATTCTCAAGTTGGGGCCGGTATGTTTGTCACTTAATACGTGACAGTTACACGCCAAGTCAGCTTGGGAAGAGGTGGTTAGGAGAGTTAGCCTGTGGACTTTGAGCACAATGAGAACAGAGGCTCTCCTTTGTTCACTGCTTCATCTCCACACCCCACACATAGTTGGCTCTCAGTGTTGTTTGTTGAATGAATGAATGAGTGAGCAGATGAATGAATGAAGTGATGAATATTTAGAGAGGATTGTAGAATTGAGGCTCTAGTTAGAAGTATTAGATGATGGCTTGTATACATCTTACTTGGTTCTTTTAGACCTAAAGTTTTATTATTATTTTTTTAATGTTAATGTCACATCCATGTATGCATAGCAATTAGCAATAACGCATGTTGAGGAATGCCTGTGTAGGTCTGAGTGAAGACTTAGTTTTGGAAGTCTTTGGAATTCTTTTGGTAAAATTGTAAGGTACCAGAAAGCTAGAGAGCCTCTTTTGTTTTTCCCTTTCAAAAAACCTCACAGGCCAAATTAAAGGAAAAAACCTGCTGAGGATAATGCTTTCCTAAGGAATGGAACTTAAAATAATATTGACAGTTTATAATAATGACAATATACCTGAAAGAAAGACAGATTTAGAAATATGTGGTTTTACAAATTTTGCCTTATAAACACTTATAAGTTTGCCTGGATTCATTTGGGGATGTGCATAGCAAGCTTCAAAATGGAAACATTATCAGTTAGAAAAGAAGGGACAATTTTTTTTTTTATATCGAAAAGTATTATTTCTAGTTCTCTAGTATTTGAATTTTTATGACACAGAAAGGAGATATTAACACTGTCTACTTTGGATATAAGATATGAAAAATAGTCAGGGCCTCTGTGATTTCTGCATGAAAGCAGTCAACAAAATAACTCATTTTTGTATTGTCAACACACTCTCATGGTCACTGAAACCTGAAGGAACGAAGGTTTTTCACCAAGGAGCCGTGTACTGTCAATTGAAAACACTGAAGGTCTGTATCCGGCCGCCTGTGGCACGTGTGCCAACACAAGGAGGAACTCATCAGTGTCAGTGCAGTGTAAGCAAGGCAAAAACTGGAATCCACAAGATGTTTTAAATCCTTTCACTAAAATTGTGATAGGGATGTTGAGAGAGCTTTATTTTCTTTGTTTGGAGTCCTGATGTTATTGTTAATTAATAATTTCCTAATTACATTATTATCTTTAACGCATTTTAATTTAAAGTACAGGGAAAGTGGTTCTTCTTACTCTTTTCTTTTATAGGTCCCTTCGTAGAATTCTGTGTCGAGATGAAATGTTTCAAAGTAGTGATAGGCTTAGTTTTATCAGAAACATTTAAATAAACTGTAGTTTCTAATGTGATTGATAGAATGTGATTGCTGTAAGCTGCAGTCTCAACCTGCTTTTGACGTTTAAACATATAAAGCTGACTAGATATAACCATTCAGGTGCTAAATATATTTTACATCTACTTCTAACAGTAGAAATGGAAGTATTAAGAGATCTGGCTTCATTGTCATTGAACTGTGAAATATTTAACCTTGTCTGCCTGCGCTTAATACTGTTGACTTTTTTATTTCTGTTAGAAGATTAAAATTAAATGCTTCACTATTTTTGTCAGCTTTTGGAAATTAAATTGAAATTTAAGACTAAAATTTTTTACTGAGGGCTTCAGTTTCAACAAAGTATTCTTGGAGGATTTTTTTTTCTTCAAGGACACTGCACAAAGGTTCATTGATTAAATATGATTTATTGCAGTTTTAAAAATTTGAGTTCTTTTTGTATATTTACTAAAGTTCACACATTTCATATTCTTTCTAACTGTATTAGAAGAGGTATTTCACCAAATAGGTCCTAAACATGATATGAAAAATCTGGAAACATATGGTACTGATTTTAAACTGTGATTTTTATGATTTTGATTTATTTATTTGAAGATTTAGTGGTTAGAAAATTGGAAAATGGTGTATATATGTTACACCTTAAAAGAGTGTTGTTTCCAATTGCTGTGGGTACTGATTAGCTGTTGGTAACTATGTTCTAGTCATAGTCTGTCTATGACTGACACCCAGTTTGTCGATTCTGAAATAATTTTGTTTTCTCATTTTTGACTATAGGTTAACCTTATTTCTTTATGAAATAAAAAAAAATTTGTTGATACTATGCTTTTTATATTGAAATATTTGTTCTTGAAATCAATAATAGCCAAAATGTCAGTACTTTTGGTTTGCAGAATCATCAAAAATTTTTGACTATAAAATGGTCATAAAAGAAAATAATTTATCCACTATATAGTCTTACTTTGTATGTTATTAAAATAGTAATATAGTGAATCATTTGGGATAAATGTCAGCAAAAACAATCTGAAATACCATTATTGTGAATAAATTCAAAGCTGCAGAAATATGAGGAAACAAGGAGGTGGCCACTGAGAAATTTATTTGGTAATAAATATACCTTAAAAAATACCAGCTGCTCTGTATGCATTTATGTTTTTAAAATGTTCCATTTTACATGTCAAGTGACTTTCAAAGATATTTTTTTGAGTTATAAGAAAAATATTTAGAGTTATTTAGCTCATCTCATCTACTTAGTGCTGCTCAACTGTGTTGCTTTTGACTGTACATCTCAGAAATGTTGAAAGTTAGGAGCACTCGCTGGAACATTCAAGTCTTCTTGGTGAAATAATTATGGAATGCAGGTCTATTCAAGTTAGAAAGGAGTGCAAGTATTCCATTTTGGGGGCAGAAATTTGTAATTAGATTAAAAGTATGATTTAAGATCTAGGCCTCTTTTTAAACTACCAGTAATGTATTATTCAAATTCAAATCATATTTTATGTTACATTTACTTAGGATCAAAACCATTCAAGTGCAAGATATGCCATTTTGCAACAGCTCAGCTTGGCGATGCCAGAAACCATGTCAAAAGGCACCTTGGGATGAGGGAATACAAGTGTCATGTCTGTGGGTGAGTAAATTGAAACCATCTCTATCGTGGTGAACCAGGAAGCATGTGCCGGATATCCATTGTTTCAGAATTCAAAACTGATATGAGTAAGAGTGGCTAAAATTATGCATGCGTATCCTCCTTTCCATTGTTATGGTAAATTCCTTAAATACAGTTATGACATTCTTCTCCCACTTCTAATCCTGTACTGAAGATGAGCAATTTTATGGGCTACAAGGTCAATTTGAACCTGTAATCTGTAAATTGACTAAATTATAGGATGTTCATTCACATTGCCAGAGAGAACTGTAAATTCCATTTAAAGACATAAAAAAATACATAATATAGCTTTGGGAGTGTACATGTATTTTTTTTTTTTTTGCTATACTGCTTTAATTTTAATCACATTAATGGCTCTTTGGATCCACTGGACATATTCTATAAGGAAATAAAGCAGAAAAAGATTTAATTTCAGACAGTGGGTTACTGATTATTGCAGGGGTGAAGTTTAAAGAAACAGTGTATAATGTATGTTTTTGTGTAACTTTATTTCAAAACTTGTTTTCCTTTTTTAGTTAATGGCTCTTTGCTCTAAAGAATTATTCACAGTGTTTGTCACTCAAATGTGTTGTGTTTAATAGGAAGCACTGAGATGCCTTAATGCACAACTAATTAATTTAGGAGAAATGTTTAAAAGGTTTTAAAATGTCATGACATGTATGGTATATCACAGGACATTCAGAGCGGTATTTTAATACCCTACTTCTGATTAAAAATATATTTTAATATTATTAATATGCTAGGGAAATTAACTAATAAGTACATATCATATAAAAACACTTTATGTGAAACTTGAGAAACCCACAGTTCTTATGGCTAATTCACAAAATACTACAGGTTCAATTAAATTATGCAAAGTGTACACGTTATATTAGGTTTATTTTTTTTAGCTGAAGATTCTTGTGGTTGGCACTACTGTGTAAATATGTTTTAAGTCAAAAACAGCTTCTGTTCTTTGTTGGACAGTACATTTCATCCCAGGATGCACTTGCATTTTTTGACCCTTAAGATAGTTTTACAAATAACTTTGCAAGCAGTTTTATTAACCACGGTCTGTGATGTATTCGTTGGCAGATTTGATGGTTCAGTGACTTGCAGCTAAAGTAAATGAAGATGAACCTTTGCCCTAGAGCCTCCTGAAGATCAGTGGAAGAATGAGTTTTGTTGCTACTGATTTTAGCTGCAAGGGTCAAGTGCCAAATGGTTCCTTTTAATTGCTCTAGGTCTTGGAATTTTAAAAGATATCTCATTTATTGTTTTTATTGTATGAGTTATAGGAAAGAGAGCCCTGACTCCAATGAAAATTTGCTATTACATGGCAATAAGCAGTTTCTGCCTCATTTCTGCAAAACAAGTAAACAATTTTTGGATACTCTGTTATTAGAAATCTAATTCCATTCATTTTTTATTAGGGTTACTACGACCCTGAAAAGAGAAGAAGAACCTTTTTCAGAGAACAGTTCTGACATATGTAGCATCAAAAACAATATGTGATTGATTGGCTTTGATTGTTTAATTTGAACAGTGCACACTTTGCTCATACATACACTGAAATGTTGCACTGGTGGTTTATACATTTGATTCCCAAGGTAGAGAATTATAAATACATGTAGATATATTGAGTTATACTGCTGTCATAGAGGTCTACAGGTATGTGTGCATAGAAAAAGCAATCTAGCATCCAAAATTGTATGTCTTAGAATTACGATAGTCATTGAATTTTATTTGACTATGAAATAATACTTCTCTTAATTTTTTAAGTGAAATTTGATTTAAAGTTTATATAAGAATAATTTTTACAGGCTAGATATTTTCACAGTGAAGCTAAATGTTCTGAAGAGTTGCAGTAAACTGAGGAGTGCCTATTAATCTATGTAGTTGAAACAGAAAAATAATGAGTTAGATACCCTTTAATGTTAAAGAAAAAGTATCATAGGTTGTTGTGTATTTCAGTGTTTCAAAGGGATGGGGCAGTATGTAGGTTAAAAATTAAAGTGAAAAACAAAACAAAAGCTAAGGATTGGCCATCAGATTAGTGGCAGTAGAGAGCATTGGTACATTAACATCACTGACAATGTCAATTCATTATCATTGATGGCTAAATAATCTTAGAAATGCTCAGTGGACCTATTAGTTCCTGAACATAAGCAGCTCATGCTGCATTTCTTCATTAGCTTTAATTGCTATAAATTTTACCTTTTAAAAAATCATGCTTTAAAAGGTGAAGTGATCTTTCAGGAACATTAACTCTATAATTTTGTCACAAACAGGAGGTCCTGCACTATGTTTTCTTTTCTGTAGTAGTTAGTTTCTTAGTCTGTCTTTTAGAATTTTATTAATGACCTACCTCTTCATTATTTGACTTGTAAGACATAAAACTGTGTTTCAAATAGTTGTGATTGAGTAATAAGATATAAAAATAGTCGGGCAGGCATATTTTTAAAATGAAATTATTACTCACAATGTTGTACTATTTGTTCTTAGTAACTTCTTGGTTTTCTTGAAAAAAACTATTTTATGGTGCAATTGATGAAAGCAGGAGACAGTGCATTCTGTTGAATTGAGCTCAATTTGAATGTTTCCAATTATTTGTAATTGTTTGACTTCTTTTTCATATCTGTATATAAGAAGACTGTGAATGCGCATCGAATACATACGTTATATTTTTACTAATGCTGAGTTTAGGAGTTGTGCACTAGCTACTCCCCTAACATGAACTGCCTTTTACACTTTTATTTCAGTGTTTGGACCTGTGCTGATTTTCTTTGAATCTTTAAGCTCAGTTTTAAGGTATCTTTTTTCCTCCCTCATCGGCAAATCTTAGCTACAGTGTATCATGGATTTCAGCTAATTTGACAAAGAAGCTGAATGTATTAGATGCCTGATTCCTATTAGGTAGCTAGGATTCAGAGTTCGGGATTTAAGTTTTGTTTACCCGTGGTTTACATGCTCATGTCACGGTAAAAATTTCAAAAATGTATTGCTTTGCACTTCCTATTTAAGAACATGTTATAGATAACTTCATTTAAAAGCCTTTTATTTTACTTTCACTTTTAGGAGGAGCAATTTTTGGATAGTACAGTTTCTTACATTTCTTACATATGAGTGTGATCTTGAGAGGAATTTTATAGAATATATGAGTAGGTGGATTTATACTTAGCACTTGATAGATAGTTAACATGAAAATGTGCTAAGGGTCTGACATAGTGCTTAGTAGGGGAGAAAATAAGAAATAATAGCCAGCATCCCTGTACAGAAGTTAATAGTTTTGTTGGGAACATATATTTAAAAATAGGCTAAACATATTTTTACTAAGTCCATGATCTCTACCTTTGTTTTTTTCGGTAGTTAAGAACTTGACAATCTCAGTGGCTTAAGAAAGTCATTATAGATAGCATGTTTTGTTAAATCCATTTAAAGTTATTTTAATACTCTCTCTCTCTCTCTCTCTCTCTGTGTATATATACATCTCCCCCCCTCCCGCCACAATAGTATATATAATACTCTCAGTAGTAAATAGTGTTTATGCAGTGCTTTGGTTTAGTGTACACCTTACTTAACATTCATTTCATTTGTTGATCTCTGTGGTTTCAAGAGATTGTTTATCTTATGTTTCTCATTCCCATTGTACAGACGGTAAACTTGAGAGTAAAAGTATTTTTAGTGATGGACTTAAATTATGCGCTGGTCATGGAAGACCACTCTTTCCTGCCTTTCAACTGTCCCTTTTCTTTATTTCTCTGCTTTGGTAATATCTGTTGTTTGGGTTGCTGACAGTCCTTTGTACTTATTTTTTTCTCTCGAGGTTGTTTCCACCAGCATGCAATAACTGTAACTTATCTCCTTCCAGCCCCCAGCCACTTTTGTTTTCTGCTTTCGCTCAGATTTACGTTCTTTTAAAAAATTGCTTGCACAGTGTTTTACTTTAATATGGTATTCGGTCTCTTTTTTTGTCTCTCTTCCTCTGTTTCACTTTTCTCATATTAAAGTTTTCTTTTAAATAATTTTATTGTTTTTCCCCATTGTTCTTTACGTGTTGATAATTTATTGCACTTGAGTGGTTACAAATTGAACATGTTAGTGTAATAGAAATAAGTGCCTAAAAAAGTGAAGATTTTACTGTCTTTCCATTAGGATGAGAGGGGTAAAACTGATCAACTTGGGTTATTGTTTTTGTTTTTCTTTACTAGTTACTAAAGAAAAAAAGAATATAAAACTAGTAAGTAGTCTGTGATTTCAGTAAATCTAGGAAATGATACCTAACTTTTGTATGACATTATTCACAAAGCCCCAGTATGCATGATTGAGGGATTGTGTTGTTTTCTGATTGATTTCCTTATGTCTGGTCTTGAATCTTGTGCATAGAGTTAAGTAGTTGAGTAGAACTTACCTAATGAAGAAAGAATAAGGGCATTTTCTGGATCTGTCACCTCTGGGTTCATGAAAAGATTCTAGACATTTTCTATTGTGTATTAGTATGCTTATGAACTGTTTATCCTTAGTTGGTTTAAGAAACCTTAAATAGAAAGTTAGTAATGCAGTCAAAGTCTTTTTGTGTGTGTGTGTGTGGCATTACCTAGTTTTTGTGCATTAGAAGGGATCTCTATGTAGATGATTATAATGTCACTTTCTGACCTTTGCAGCTTGAATAATTGTAAATCATTGCTTCATAACGTGTCAGAGAATGTCTGTACTAGGCAATTAAATGGCAGAATATAATAGACCAAATTATTGCCTGTCATGTTTTCAACAACACAGTTAGTATTTGAGTTACACTTAATCATTACGTGCATTAGCAACTTCATTGGAATCCAGCTTCAGGCTGAGCATGAAATACATTACATTATTTAAACCTCTAATGGTACAAGTCATTTATTTGTGTTGAAGTGTACAACATGCAGAGTTTCATAAAGCAAGGAACACTTGAGAGCTTAATTTATCCAAATCAAAGTCTAAATGCA